GTTCATAAAATGCATTTGTAAGCCTCCCCCTTTGGTCACTTCTATTTGCAAAGGAACCCGTAGAAGATATGATAGAAAAATTACATGGAGATTCTTAATCAACAGGGTCAGAAGAATAACTGCTGCAAGACTACTAGTAGCTCAATGTTGGAAAACGTAACGTTTGCCCACTATAGAAGAATGGTCGCTTAAAGTCTCAAATTTAGCAGAAATGGCCAAGATTTCCGCTTATGTGAAGGACTATTCACAAGAAAGATATATTTCGGTTTGGAGAAGATGGATAGATTATATTGAGAGTAAATATGGGACTAAAAAGTTTCATTTGGTTTTTGAGTGAATCTTAGAGTATTAATGTAGTTTATATGTTATTTATCCAATGAATAAAAATAAATATTAATAATTATACTACAATATTAATAACACAAATTATGATCATATAAACAAATTTTCTCTCAATTTCCTACAATATCTAAACAATAAGATTATCAACTAATTACAATCTATCTCATACCAATAACATAACAATTGGGACACTAACCGAGACCCTTCACCCCCCCTCCCTCCCCCCAGTGGAAGGGTGGGTTTTGGGGAGGGGGGGAATTATATTGTAAAACTTTTATAAAATTTTCAATAATAAAAAAATAAAAAAACAGGGTCAGAAGAATGGAAAGAATTAGTGGTGGAGTCTGGCTTTATCCCCCTGCCTTCCCTCTTACACACAGCCCTTCCTAGGACTGTTCTGCTATGGAAGCAAGACCCGAATTTGCTTACATCCTGTATGTTTTTCTTTCTTTATCTCCAATGATAGTAAGAATCGCAAAACATGTACATCACGTTTCAAAAATGCGTTCTTATAGTTTTGTTGTCCTTGACTAACTTTCCCCATTTCCAGTTTCACCTCATTAAAGGAAAGGAGAGTGGGAAATAAAAAGATATTCACAGAGAAGAAAAGCCAAGAGAACACTGATGTGAAGTATGCTTCAAGCAACAACGTCCTTTCATCTGTTTTCATCAGCTTTTCCTTTTTGAAAAAGGTATTTAGTTTAATAATCAGTGAAATGTTCATTTTAAACACACACACACACACACAGACACACACAACTTTAAGAGCAATGGGATTACCCTGAAGAAGTAGCTGTTGCCAAGGCTTTGAGAACAGGCCTGAGATCACGCATGAACAGCATCTCCAAGGATTAATGAAGAACTCTGTTGATATAAAGAAACTGTTTGGGGTTTGTTTGTTTTTAAACTCTCCTGAAGCTGTTGCTGTGGGGGGGGGGGATACAGAAAACACAAGGAAGACACAAAATTGGTTCAAACGTGTGCAGGAAGGCAGATATAAGTAAGCTTTCATCCTTGAGTGATTTTAGCAATACAATCCTTAATTCCTGGTCCTCTAGCACAAAGGTTCTTCACTTAAACTTTGGACAAAAAAAAAAAAAGCATCTCGTTTGCCATTAACTCCTCGTATGCCATTAAGGGCTCAAAGTGTGATATATTCACTGGAAGCTAAATGAGTAAAATGAAAAACAAAAAACAAAGACAGACTGCTTCTACTACAGAAATGTTCCAAACGTAGTAATTACCTGCTAGGAACACTCTGTGTTATATTAGGTAAGCTGATGGGAGACCAAGTGACAAATATTTAGCACCCCTTATACCCCAACTGAAATAGGTTTGCTTGATTATATATCCTAACTTTCTGTTAATAATGATGTGGTTTTTACATTGCTACTTTGTAAATAACAAGTTAGAAGTCAATGCTTTAATCTTACATCTCTTGATCAAAATGCAAGAATGTAACATTTAGAGAAGATACACAATTTAACTCTCAAACAATTTCTAGACTGCCTCTAAAGACCAAAATGTCCAAAGGAATATGTTTCATTTTTAATAGGTTTTCTTCATTTTGTTGGATTTTACATTACAGAATTTATCTGTGGAGGGCGATTTTCTCTGAAGAATGAGAGGGATCATCTTTCAAATGTTGCCAGCTAGATGGAAGACATTTGCTCATGAACGGCTCTGAAATATTTGGGAAATGATTTTAGCCACAAACGCTTTTGAGCAAAGCCTGATTACATGGATCTGTTTCCCACCTGGCTGTTTTCTAAGATAAGAAGCCTCTAGTGACTAGTCTTAGATGCATGGGATCTATGTAGCTAAATGATCAGCTAAAGGGCATCTGAGTCAAGCAATAATCATTGCAATAATCTCAATTTATTTACTACAGCTTTTTTAAAATTTGGTCATATAGGTGTTTCAACAGGAGAGAGCAAGCAAATATTTGCAGAATTGTTTTTATTTTGACTGGTGGGGTCCATGTAGAGAGCTTTTTCTGCTTTGGAACATTCTACTCCCCTAAGATGAGGCAGCCCCCCCACAATTCTGGCTTTCGGGAAATGTCTGAAGATCTGGCCCTGCCAAATTGTTTGGTGCCCAAAGGAGCTTGCAGCCATGGGGCTGGTTAGTGCCTTGAAGGCCCTCCTCACTTTTAAATTTAATTTTGAATTTTAATTACTCTGTTATTGTTTAACTGTCTATTATAATATTTATATATAGCTTTTAGGTTTTTATGTCTCATTTTTACATTGGCCAGGGTCTCTCTGTGAGGGAGATGGGTGATTTCTAAATGTGACACATAAATATAGAAATGCTGAAGGAGAAAAGCTTAGGTTTTTTTTTCTAAGCATTTCACATTGTGCACTCTATTTCCGTGAAATAAAAAGATGTGCTGGCAGATTTCCAAACACTAATATACCAGCAAAAAGTTCTGCATCCAGCTGGATGGAACAACTCTTGGGCTTGTCTAAATGTTATTGATTGAACTCTAATGGAAACCCAGGAAAACTTAGGATCCAGCAAATCTTCGAGTATTTTTCAAGTCTGGGGATTTTGATTCAGGAAGATACCAATGTAGAGTCAATGGGAGAATGGAATCAAATATAAATTTCCTTCTTTTTATTTAAGTGGCAAATTTGAATCTAGTCTATGATTCCCAAGGACCTTAAAATTGCTCTCTGAATATGTGTGTTTAAAAAAAGGGGGGTTACCAGAGGGGCACCATTTTAGTTTGTTGCAAAACAAGGGTAGAATATTGTAGAAACAAGAACTAAGTTGTGGTTAACTTATGGAATATTCAATTTACTGTTGTCATTAAAGTACCACAAGCCTCATTTAAAAATGGATTGGTATTCTAATTCACCCTTTCTGCTGAAAAGAAACAGCAAGAGTTAGCTTAGATGAATCCTAATGGGTGACTTTCGTGAAAGTCAATATGTTACCTGTATGATCAAAAATCGGTATTTTGTTCAGCTTATCCAAGTGACCAGATAAACTAGGTGATGTTGCTCCAATAGTGGACTGCTTTGTGCAATGCAGCAATTTGGCAACAGTTGCCTGTGTGGGGCTTTCCTGTCTTTGTTCTCTGGGATTAGAGGAGTTAATCAAAACGACAGTGACTTCTGGCTTGATATAGTTAGAAAGGTCACAAAACTGAGGCTCAATTGTTTTCCAGTCAATGGTAAACTGGTACATAAAATGCTTGCGGTTTCCATTCTGCACAATGCATTCCGCCATGAAATTATCAATCAGCAAGAAAAAGCCATTACAAAAGGTGAACAAGGTCAAGGTTACATTAGTTTCAGCACATCTAGCCCATTTTTCAAACTCTTCTTCCAATAACAGGTAGTAATGCTGAAATGGAGCAGGTGTTAAAAAATGCATATCCTGCCTGAATTTGATGGAAATTAGATTCTCAGTTCCAGCCTCATTCAATGTGGACTCTACAGCTGAACAAAGGAAATTTGGAGCTCTCCGTTTCCACTAGCATGAGTTAACATACAATGACAAGCTGATTTTTCATGTTGGGAAACCAGAAGTATAGAGCTAATGCAAACCTGGAATCACTGATTTGAAGCTTTTTCTCTTATTAGTTTTCAGATCTGACGGGGAAATTGTCTCGTATATTAATTTAGGCTAGATGCTTCGACGTCCCGTGGCAGAGTGTAATAAACAATTCTTGAAGAAAATGCTTTATTTTGCAACGATACACAAAAAGTTAAGCTATACTGTATTAGCTTCAGAAACTATAGGAAATCCAGAGGGAAAAGAGTTACAAGGTTAACACACTATTGCTTCCATATGAAACCATTCCTCCCAATGTCATCTCTCTTACTACTGTGTCTCTGTGTACATCAAGTCTGAAAGGTAGGAAACTGTCCCATGTGAATGTCAAGCTATAAAGACCCCTTGCTTTAGAACTGCTGTGCTGCTTCTAGCTTGCCTACAGTCAGGGGGGGGGGAGGGAGAAGGTTTGGTCCACAGGTGGTTGTTATCAGTGTAAAAGCTGACGTTACCGAAGAGATGTTTTGGCAATAGAGGTTTTCTTCTCATAACAAACATTTGAAGACTTAATTGGACAATGTGACCTGAATTGCCAGAGAGGGGAGTTTACTCTTTTAATTAACTTTTTCCTGCCATATTGCCAGAGCTGGTATTCCTTCTATCGTGCTGGTATGCTTTGCCTAATAAAGTATTACATTAGAGATCGTAATGTCTCTGGTGTGTTTACTTCGTTGGGCTTTTCAACCAGAACCGTGACTGTGAATCTCAAGGGAGCAAGCACCTAGTGACCAAGTACCTTTGCCTATCCCGGTTCCTGCTTGCACGGCTGAACAGCTACACAAACTCTCCCCACTACCTACAGACAGGCACCAGGTACTTCTATATCCCTAAAAGAAAATATCATCGCATGCATGAAAGCTGGGGTGGGGGTAGTGGAAGCAAGTCCCGTGTGAGACAAACATGTTTAACACCTGAGACGGGTACAGTTTCAAAATATTGTGGGTCAATCTTAAGACGACAGAAGATTACAAAATTAAGGTGCCCTCTTCGTGGCATCCTCAAAATAAATAAGAGTTTTGTTAGCTCCTCTTTTTCAGCCTAGCTCGCTCAAATTGACCAGAAGAAATTTCTTCGTCACAGTACTGAAGAAATTTGTTATAAAAATTTAATTGTGATAGTTTCAAGTAGCTGTTTCTGGGATCTAATTGAAACAACAAAGTGACCCTCACTTGTCTTATCAGTAACCGTCCATTTACGTCCTTGTTATCAACAGCCTGGAGAGAGACATTCCATTCGGGTTGCCTACAGATTCCTTCTGAATCAAAACAGCTAAATGTCTGTTGCATCACTAAGTTCTCCGGGTTCTGATTAAAACAGTGTGAATGTCCATGACATTTGTGCCTGTCAGGCCTGTCACCAAAAGGCGATGTCCATTTTGGAACTTGGTGAAAAATGTGTACGAATCGTTATTGCTCAACATGCTTCCCACGTCAAAGCCTTCCTGCTCGGCCTCCTCCACCAGATCCTGGCTGCAGAAGGCCCCAGCCGCCTCTGTTGGCCCATCTTGTCCATCAGTTCCACCACTCAAAAACAAGACTTCGTATTTGTTAAGACAGCTTCCCTCCATAGTGGATTTAGCTCTGTGCAGTTCCAAGGCCACTCGCAGAGCCAGTTCCTGGTTCCTTCCACCCTTCCCACTTCCTTGAACCTGCACGGTGGTTTCTCCACCTGCCAGAAGACAAATGGGGTTTTCCACATGGGGTTCTTTCATGGTTGTTAGAGGGTCTATCAAGCTCAAGACTGGAATCTCCAGCTGTCCTGCAACGGTTGTGAGCATTTCTTTCACAGAGTCCCTTAAAGGTCTACTTCCAGCATCTTTTATAATGCTCAAGCACACAAACTGAATCAATAGGCTGTAGAAATGGGCAACAGTGCTGACCTCCCCACACACAGCATCACTCAAAAAGATAGTCAGGTAACCCAACTGTTCTGCCTGGTATTTGGCTCCCTCCAAAGCTAGCCTGTTGGATCCAATCACAACATTGTAGACATGGGAATAATCTTGCTGGGTGCTATGCTTTGTGACAGAGCTAGAGAGGACTGTCGACACAGACTTTGGCAAGGTATTCAATACATCATACTTGGCCAGTATCTGAAAACAGTCCTGCCTGCTGTGAGAACTGGCAACAGTCGGGCCACTTGCTATAATGTCCAATGGATCTCCAATGACATCAGAAAGAATGAGGCTCAAAACCTGAAAAAATAAGCAAATATTGTTCATGTTGTATTGGAATTTGATCTTATTTTTAGCTATGCCTCTACCCTGATTTTTTGAAAATATATATTTGAATTTTAATACGCTGACAATATATGAAATAAGTTGTTTTCAGGTATGACTTGTATAACAAATGACATTTCACCATTCCTTATAAAACAACATTTCTGTACTTTGGACTGTAACAGATTGGATTTTTATCAGATACTTTTCAAAGACTACATCCCATCTTTTCACCTATATCCTTTGAAATATTACCCAAATAAATCCACTGTTTAGTAATGACTAAGCTGCCTGCTATAAGCCACCATAAAAAGTAGATTTTTTGCTTTGCAATTTCTTATTCTGGCCATCGAAAATGTATAGCAATCTTAGCTTTGGGCAGTTACTCTCTTTTGTGTCTGAAGATCAGATGAAGCCAAAAGTCAAATACTATGTGGAATATTTTATGTTCTCCAATACTAACTTGAGAGCCAATTGGATGGAAGAGTTAAGGCATCACACTAGAAATCAGGAGATGGTGAGTTCTAATCCCGCCTTAGGCAGGAAGCCAGTTGGGTGATCTTGGGCCAGTCATTTTCTCTCAGCCCAAGAAAGGAGGCAATGGCAAACCACTTCCTAAAAACCTTGCCAAGAAAACTGCAGGGACTTGTTCAGGCAGTTGCCAGGAATTAAAAACGGTGAGAGATGGTGCCCACAGAGGGGGAGGTTGTAATGGACTAGAGTGAGTGGCAATTTCCCAGAAAGGACCAAGTTACAAAAAGGGGGGACACAAAAGGAAGCACAGCCCAGAGCTGTATAGGAGACAGAGGAAGAGAAAAGAACAGTCACTTCCTAGCGTGTCCCAGGGCACAACTATTAGGGTGTCAGCAATAAGGGTTTAGTCTGGGAAGGTTCTGTCTATTGCAGGGGTCCCTAACCCCTGGTCTGGGGACCGGCACCGGTCTGCGGCATACCAGCAATTGGGCCACACAAACAAGTTGAAGCCCCATCTGCTGGATGCAGGCAGCACACAAAACCATGCCTCCTCTGGGCCATGGAAAAACCTCTCTCCAAGGGACCAATCCCTGGTGCCCAAAAGGTTGGGAGCCGCTGGTCTATTGTGTACAGGCAAATAAAGAACTGAACTCTGGCTGAATTGCTCTTCATTATTCTTGGGTTTTACCTGACAAAAACTGACTTGAAGGCACCAAAAAAAAAAAAAGTCCACCAAAAAACTCTGCCTAGAACAGTGTTTCTCAACCTTGACAATTTTAAGGCATGTGGACTTCAACTCCCAGAATTCCACAGCCAGCATCGCTGGCTGTGGAATTCTGGGAGTTGAAGTCCACATGCCTTAAAATTGTCAAGGTTGAGAAACACTGGCCTAGAAACTATGGGTTCCAATTGGAGACATTTTAGAAGCTCAGTTATAAATCTAAGCCAATTTAATCACAAGATTGATAGGCTAAAATAAAATAATGACATTAATGTTGTAAGAGGCTTTAGTTGGTTAATTGCACTACTTGGAATCATGCCCTAAATAATGCATACATTTGAATCTGCACTAAAAGGGATTTGGAGAAATCCTATATCTGTGAAATGAAGCTCGGCCAAGAGTCCTAGGACAGGAAAGACGGCCACCTTCACATTTCCTGCCTGCTGAAAAACCAGGAATGAACGATGTAGCTAATCTATGTCTTCATATACTATATGATTCCTGCTGTAAAAAAAACAAACCTATCTCAGTGTGTTACTAATAGACAGAGCTGTGTTTGACATATAAAGTATGAATCATTCTTCAATTTCTTTCCTACTGCTCTGACTTCTTGTCCTTTGCTTTTATGAAAAATAGGTCATATTTCATAGTTTACACAGGTAGTCCTTGACTTACGATCACAATTGGGACCAGAATTTCTTGTCATAGGTGGTTGCAGTTGTTGGATTCAATTTTATGATTATTTTTAAATCACTGTAGACATTAAGCTATTCCACAATTTTTAAGTGAAGGCTGCAGTTGTTAAGTGTGAATCCATTCTTCCCAATGGGCAGTTTTTTGCTGGAAACTGGCGAAAAAAGTTACAAATCATGATCATGTGACCACGTGATTGCAATCACATTGCAATCACACGACCATGGTGGTGGTGTAACAGTTGTGAGAGCACTGGTCATAAGTGTGAGGACCAAGCTTTTTTTCAACACCATTGTAACTTCAAACATTGGTCAAACCATTTCTGAAATGTACATTCAATGTATGCAAAACAGAAAAGTGTTTTAAAAGTTAAATCCCTCAAACCCAAATGATTTACAAATTGTGTAAAAGAAAAATTAAGCAATAAGGCATTGTTTTTACTTAATCCACATTATTCATTATGGCTGAAAAATCAGAATTTTTGATGGAAAGCTTTGGCATTTTTAGCACAGAACTTTAGGTCCCCTGCTCAAATATTCTATTTGCCTCAAAGGCTAGAATTTGTCAAATGTAATTTTTGGGAAAAAAACAAACTCTGAGCCGTTATGATCATGCAAAGGAAATAAAATTATGCAAGGACTTCTGGAAAGTTGGTGCATTAAAACTGAAATCTACCAGATTTGTACCAAATTAGCCTGTGCTGCAATGATTTTTATAAACAAATCACTGTTGTTGCATAATTTACTCTGCGGGTATTAATGTATATTTACTGCACTATTCTGTATGCACATTCCTAGAGCTAAATCTAGACCTAAAAGATTTCAAGAACACTAAAAATACGTTAAGAACCAATCACAACTATTTCCCTACATTCCTTAGAGCAGTGGTTCTCAACTTTTTCATCATGGACCCCCTTTAAATACCTTTTGTGGCCACAGACCATGGCCACTGACCACCAAGACTTAACTCAAGATTTACATCATAACATTTCTTCAAGCCTGTGATGACATTGTGGACCCCAGAGAACCACAATGTTTCTGATTGCTCAAAATGTTTAAACATCAGAGCTGACTGAGATAATGTCCCTGATATTGATGAGGATTGAAATTATCCTGATCTTCGGCACCAAAATTTATCCCTCTCTCAACCACACTGAGCTTAGAGAACTACAACTGCCATTCCTTTTAAAACTAAGTGTCATGTGTCTGATTAATGAAACACTTAAAAGGACTTTCAGGCATATTTTTTCCTAAAAGCATTTATTAAGGTTTCAGAGACGTCAGTACAGCATGGTGGAAATGCTTAGGTCTGGCTTCTCTTCCGTTACGCATATACATTCTAAGCATTCCCCCCCCCTTATTTTGGGGTCATGGTTCACATCTTCCAAGTTGATTGGAAGATGTGATTTACTTCCGGTTTCTTTTTCCCGGGCTATCCTTATTCTCCTCCCTTTTTCCCTGTTGCCTGGTTTAACTATAAAAATACCAGACAGTTCTGCATATTGTCAAAGCAAGAATATACAGTATTTGCAGCGTTGACACTAAGAGTTATTGGGTCAAGACAGCATTAAATACACTTACCTGGGCAGGATGAGCTACCTGGGCCAGCCCTCCACCTTTTGATAAAGAGAGAGCCTTTCGAATGGTATTCAGCTCTTGAATGGTGGCTCCTTTTGAAGCGAGCAACCTGGTGATCGTAGTCTTGTCTTCCAGGGTGACAGGAGGGATAGGTGCAGATAAAAGGGCAGACCCTCCTCCTAAAAGGCAGAAAAAGTATGCTTTTAGGCAACAAGGCTCCTTTCTTGCAAAGGTTAGCCCCTATCAGAAGACAATAGTCTCCTCTATCAAGGCAGCATTTTTCTCTTTGCCTCTTTCCACCCTTTGGAACGGAAGCAGTTTTTCTCCTCCCACTTTTCAGTTGATTATTTTACAGAATGACAACTGGAGATACTTTTCTATCAAGTGGTTAAAACAGAGGCTCACATATAAATGCCTTCTAAAAGGGCAAGGCAGCTTTCCTCCCATGCATATTAAAAGTAGAGAGCCAATTTGCTGCAGTGGTTAAGACATCAGACTAGAAACCAGAGACTGTGAGTTCTAATCCTGACTTAGGCATGTAGACATCGGAGTGACCTTGGACCAGTCATTCTCAGCCCTAGAAAGGAGTAAAGGGCAAGCCACTTCTAAAATACCTTGACAAGAAAATTGCAAGTAGGCTGCGTTAATATCTTACAAAATTCATCTTTACAAGTGCTAGATAGAAAACCTGGAAATGATGATGTAGTGGCAGCAGTATGGGCAAAGGAAAGCTAACTACGTATCATTGAGTGTGACGGATTGTGTTTATGAAGAGGGAGATGGACTACAGTGATGGGCAGATTCTCAGAAAGAAGAGAGAATATCCCAAGGAGGGGAGCAAGACAAGAGGCAGCACAGCCCAAATCTGGATCAGAAAAAAAGTTAGGATAGCCACCCCCTAGACCAGTGTTTCTCAACCTTGACGATTTTAAGGCATGTGGACTTCAACTCCCAGAATTCCACAGCCAGCTTTGCTGGCTGTGGAATTCTGGGAGTTGAAGTCCACATGCCTTAAAATTGTCAAGGTTGAGAAACACTGCCCTAGACTCTAGTAAGGGTGAGAGTAGTATAGGTTTAGTCTGGCAAGATTCTGTCTATATGATGGAGCAAATAAATAACTGAATTTTGGCTGTATTGTTTTATCTCATTCTTGAGCTGGGCCTGACGACGAGATATAATAGGGATCATTCACTTCCTGACCTAAACACTCCTCCCCTCCCCAAATCTACAAGATTCAGAAGTGCCTCTGAACTCACATGATTGCAACCTATCTCTGCTAGTCACTAAAGCTCCCCACTGTTTTGTGTAAGCCTGAAAAAAAGATGATCATAGTTTAAGGAATCCACAGATTTACAGTAAGTTAACATGTCTCTTCAAACAGTGGCATTTTTTTTCATATAAAGACGGGTGAATGTTGCTGAGAAGTATTGAGCTCACACAAAATCCAACACACTTTGTAAGAATTATTTTCAGAGCGCACCGCTCTCAGAATTAGACTCCTGATAATCTAGTGAATTGAAAGTTTCATCCTAAAATCCATTCGGGTTTACTTATCTAAAGAAAGCCACAGACTAACAAGGTGAATTCACATGTACAGATGAGAACCCCTTTTTACAGTGTTTGTTATTTCTGCATAAAAAGAGTTCTAAACATAGTGCCAGTTTAAGCAAAATAGAGAAGTGAAAGGAACTGCAACTGAACACTTCAGCCAGGTGTCAGGGATAGATGGATTTGCAGTGTTTCTCAACCTTGACAATTTTAAGGCATGTGGACTTCAACTCCCAGAATTCCACAGCCAGCATTGCTGGCTGTGGAATTCTGGGAGTTGAAGTCCACATGCCTTAAAACTGTCAAGGTTGAGAAACACTGGATTATAGGGAGACAATCCATTAAAGAGAAATATCTCAAGCACCAGACAGACCACCTGAGCAATGGATGTACAAACTAACAGAATGTCCATGGAAAGATCAACAAAGTACTAAAAGGCCTCAAGGTCAACTCTGTTAGTTAAAAAGTTGCCATGAAATACAAAATGGGCTGAAGCTTGAGACACAATATCTTGCAAAATACATCCCTGAAAAACAATTATATAGGGACTTTTTAATCAACTGATAGAAATTTGCTCATGGCAACCTTAACCAGAAAGGGAATTCTTCTCTAAGGACAACAGGCAGTGGCATATAATAAGGACCTCTTTTCAAAGAAGAATTGACTGCATAAGTATGAATAGACTTTCCCTCAAACAGCAGTATCATACTGATCATTCTTCCTGGGATAGAAGAATATTTATATCTAGCTTATTAAGTTCAGAAATATCATTGCCAGCAGAACTTTACTCAAACAGTAGGGGATGGGGACACTATCGTCTCCACCCAAGATTCAAGAATAATTCATGTGTCAGAATCAGATCCTACTATGTCTGCTTGTGTTCTGATGTTACAGATGGGCTTCCATTCATACAGGAGGGGATGCTAACCCACTTCTTTAGTAGATTAAGACAAACTACACATACCCTTGACCCTGGTCTTTTCTATCTAAGGCAACCAAGGAAGATCCAGTCAACTTCATGGTCAATGCTTCACTAAACATCCAACCTTTTTTGTGGTGGGGGGCTAATATGAAACCTCTAATAAAAAAAATCTTTAAGTCCTTTCTAACAATCCATCCTGTTAGATAATTCCCAATTTGGTATTCTTGGACAAGGTGGTTAATCATATGGCACCTGAGATTCAGGAATTCCTGAATGAAACAGGTTGCTTACACTCATTTCAACTGAGCTTGAGAAATGGGAATGAGGCTGAAATTTTTTTTCGGTTGCCTTGGTAAATAATCCACAGTGAAATCAAGACAAGGAGACTTCTGCTGGACCTCTCAGTGGCATGTAGCTCCACTTCTTTTTTATCTACTGTTAGGGATGGTGTTGGTTCTAAATTGAGTTCTAGTGGGGTACCACAAGGCTCCGTCTTCAATATCTTCATCAATGACTTAGAATAGATGAGGGAATAGAAGGGGAACTCATCAAATTTGCAGATGACACTAAACTGGCAGGAATAGCCAACACCCCAGAAGACAAGCTCAGGATTCAAAAAGATCTTGACAAACTTGAACAATGGGCCCTATCCAACAAAATGAATTTTAATGTGGAGAAGAGCAAAGTTTTACATTTAGACTGGAAAAACCAAAGGTATAAATACGGATTAGGTGAGACCTGGCTCAAAAACAGTAACTGTGAGAGGGACCTTGGAGTCCTAGTGGACGATCACTTGACTATGAGCCAGCAATGTGCAGGAGCAGCCAAAAAAGCTAATACAATCCTGGGTTGTAGAAACAGAGGCATAGAATCAAAATCACATGAAGAATTAGTACCACTTTATAAAACCCCAGTAAGACCACACCTGGAATACTGCAACCAATTTTGGTCACCATGCTACAAAAAAGATGTTGAGATCTTGGAAAAGGTTCAGAGAAGAGCAACTAAGATGATTAAAGCCTGGAGACTAAAACATATGAAGAACAGCTGCAGGACTTGGGTTTGGCTAGTCTAAAGAAAAGAAGAAATAGGGGCAACATGATAGCAGTATTCCAGTATTTGAGAGGCTGCCACAAAGAAGAGGGGATCAAATTATTCTCCAAAACACCAGAGGGCAGGACAAGAAACAATAGTTGGAAACTGACCAAAGAGAGAAGCAACCTGGAATTAAGGAGAAAGTTCCTAACAGTGCTGACAATTAACTAGTGGAACAGCTTGTCTTCAGAAATCGTGGGTGCTCCATCACTGGAGGTTTTTAAGAAGAGACTGGACAGTCACTTGTCTGAGATGGTATAGGTCAGTGGTGGTGAACCTATGGCACGGGTGCCAGAGGTGGCACTCAGAGCCCTCTCTGTGGGCATGTGCGCCATCGCCCCATTCCTACACCTTCAGCTGGGTTTTATAAAACCTTTTCACTTTAGGCCTCCACCGCCGTGTGCAAAAAAAAAGGGGGGGTTCAGTCAATTTCAACTTCTCGCGGGGGAAAAAAGATCTTGCAAAGTTGGAATTGATTGATTGAACTTTTTAGTCCCACCCAGTCTGCCGTTACCACCGCGGCCACGCCCACCCAATGGGCCACACCCACCTAATAGGCCACACCCACCCAATGGGCCACACCCACCCGGCACCCGACGATGCATAAGTGGGTTTTGGGTTGCATTTTGGGCACTCGGTCACTAAAAGGTTCACCATCACTGGTATAGGTTCTCCTGCTTGAGCGGGGGGCTGGACTAGATGACCTCCAAGGTCCCTTCCAGCTCTATTCTATTCTATTCTATTCTATTCTATTCTATTCTATTCTATTCACAATAGGTTAGGTAAATGGGTTAGATGTCTGCAGGCATTGCTATACCCCAGTCCTGTAAGAACTCCCAACAGTTACCTCTTTGTTTTGAGGCATAATTCAAAGTGCTCAGAGTAATTTTGAAAGCATTAAATGCTTAGGGTCCAAAATACCTCAGGGTTTGCCTTCTCAATGGTAGCCCTCAAACTATGGAACCCTCTTCTTAGGAGTCTAGACTGCCACTCTATTGGATAATGTTTTGCAAATGGATAAAGCCTTTCTATTTTAGGAAGGCATTCAATATCCGGTTCGGTTTTAGAAGACACGGTTATTTCTATTAGATGTCTTTGTACACTTTTGGAGCGCTGCCAACATTTAAATCTTGCATTTATTTCAAGTGTTTTAAATTGCCCCGAGTGATGCATATGCATTAAAGGGCAGGAACACAATGTGCATATACATATAAAAATAAAATCAGTATCCATACTGATTAATTTCTGCCTCCCTAATCTGGAATTCCTTCTGCACGCAGCCTATGTTCTTACATTTATAGAATGTAAATTTTACACACATAAAATGCAAAACCTAAAAAAGGTTGATTGTGGCCAGTGGTGGAGGATGAGTGAGGAGAAAGCGTGAATGTATTTTTAAAAGATCTGCCTGAAAGTTCCCACATAGCCGATACTGCCACTGAATAAAAGAACATGCTATCCAAGCTTGCAGAATTGTGCCAATTTAAGCGGAAAGGCATTGTGAGTGAAACACAAGCAGGCTGACCCCTGCTCCAGACTTCTTTTGTCTCAGCTTCATCCCTGATCCAACCGTGTCCATACCATGAATCAGCTTTGCATGACAGTTATCTTACA